TCTCTCCGTCTCTCTCTCTCTCTCTCTCTCTCTCTCTCTCTCTCTCTCTTTCTTTCTCTCTCTGCCTGTCTGTCTGTCTGTCTGTCTGTCTCTCTCCCTCTCGAATTTCTGGCAAGTATCGATCGTCGCAGTGATGTGTTCAGCATCTCTGGTGTTTACATGGTACTCCGTATTCAGCGTATTGGTCGCCTGCAGTAGTGGAAGAAGTCATGCCACTCTCGGTTATAAGTCATGAACCAATTTCACGCGAGAGCGACGACATGACATGTGCGTGGAATGATGCTTGCAGGGAGGCGAGGGCGAAGAGGTGCTGCCGGGAGCCGTTCAGCTCGACGACGATACCCTAGACTTCGACGATGCGGGGTTCTCGCGGTCGGAGTTGCCGCCGATTGGCGAAGCAGAAGTAGCCGTGGACCAATCGGACGGGGAGCCCCAAGAGGAAGAGGATCACGAGGTACAGCTCGGCTGACTAAGTTTTGAGTACCTGTTATTTTTACACACGGAGAGGTAACGAACACCGTGTTCGCTCTGTACATCTTGCTGTTGTGAGCAAGAACTCTCCCTCTCTCTTGTGTAGTTTGATAAAGGTCACCCAACATGATGTTCGTATGCACCTTCTCTTTCAACGACAGAGAGGTACAGCTAACTTTGGGTGTGGGTGTTTTTGTTGTGCTCATGTTGCTTGAGTTCTGGAATTTTTTGTAGTTTGCGCTTTTCGATGAACGCTACATCCTGTCTTGTCAGTATTTTCTGGGGGCAGACCAGGTGGTCGATAACTGCAGTGTTGCCGTTCTACGATAGGCAAGCGCGGTGTGGCAATCAATCTAGAAGCGGGAGAGGTTTCCAAACCGGAACATTGTCCTTCAGCAGCGTAAGCTCGCCGTAGCAGCGTGGCCGCCTGCTCGTGGGGAAGGGAAGGAAGGAAGGGAAGTGTGACTTGTTCCGCACGCGGTGGCTAGTTGGGATTAAAGTCTTAGCCGTGGCAACCAACGTGCCCCTCTCTGCTCTCTGCGTTTCGCGGTCCAAAGCCTGTAAGGGATCCGTGCTCTTGCAGCCAGCTCAGGATGGTGGTCGGTGTTGTTGACATGGTCATCATGGATGGATCAGTCTGTTGACCTTCGAATACGATGGAAATAATTTTCACGAAGCCAGCACCCTTCAGTCGCAGCCTGTCCTTACCCCCCACCAATCACCAGAAGTGTCACTCCTCATGCTCATGTCAATTTCAGATGTATTGTCGATCTAATTTGTCTGGGTCTGATTGCGGAACGTTGCCACCGCTTTCACGTTTCATGTTTCGCGTCTCATTATACCCCGCCGGAGCAGCCTGAGGTCAAGCCCAAGGCCACTCGCACTCGCAAGCGGAAGCTTGTTCTCGACCAAGTTACCCTCATCGACATGGCCACCATGAAGGCTCAGCTACAGGTATATATGACCATCCATCTTCTCTCTCTCTCTCGCTCTCTCTCTCGCCCTCTCTCTCTGCGTCTCAACCTCTCTCTCCCTCTACCTCTACCTCTCGCTCTTAAAGCCTCTCTCTTTGGCGACCAGAGTTTTGTTTGGTTTGAGTTGTACCATTTTGGGTTGCTTGGCTCTGTAGCTGCTTTCAGTCGGGAAACGATATTGCTTGATGTCGCTTCGAGCGTCTCTTCATTTTCTTTTTTTTTTTCTCTCTCTCGATCTCGATCTCGAACTCGTGTCGATACACCCAGAGTTGGACTAGCAGAATCGAAGGTGAACTGCTATGCGTGGTCGTCGTTTTTTGCAAGTCGGTTGTTTTCCTCTGTAGTCTACATGGCCGAGTTTGTCGTGATGACGTGGCAGTTAGACGATTCAAGGCGTGTTGCGTGTGTGTTGTTGAAATGCGCCGGTGTGATGTTGTGTGCTCTTCACCGCAGGACACCTCTGACATCACACGCAAGCGCTGGCGGGGGCCCCGGCGAATCGTCCAAGAGTCCCTCACCCCTGAGGAGCAGCTGGCGGCCCCGCTCATGCCCTGGCTCGCCCCACCCATCCAAGACATGCTCAGGTAAGCCACAGGTGTATACTCTGCTGCACCATAGCTATCTTTTTATTTATTTTTTTCTCCCATCATTGCACTCTGTCGTCTGCCCTTCTGGCCCCTATCCTCCACTTCTACTAGCTAGACGACCCAACTGGGGTCACATAGGAGGGGGGGGCTGGACCCCCTCCTGCGGTTCCTGCCTGAGGTATTCTTATCGCGAGAAGGGTACAGCAATCCCTTCCCTCGCGACTTACGAAGTCGATCACTAACAACGAGCTTTGCGACGCGTCGCTTTCAGGTTTTATGTAGTGAGAAAAAACTCACCCTGCCGGGACTCGAACCCATGACCTGGCCCTTAGCAGGCTGCGAGGTTACCCACTAGACCACCGGGGCGACCGGTCGTATCTGTTGCGTCCTGAACCAGTGGTCAGTTGTGACGTCGCTGATCGCTCACCAGCAGCATCAAGCACCCACACTTTTTGTTTTTGCTTTTTCTATTTTCCCGCCATTCTTGTGGCGCCTGCCGTTGTTGCGGTTCGGTTATCTATATGGTTCGGTTCTGTCAGGGCGTGCATGCACCCTGGGGGCTTCCCCTTCCCGGTGCGGTTGCGAGCGCCAGCCGCGGGAGAGGGGGGCGACGGCGGAGGCGGCGGCGCGGCGGGCGTGCAGGGGGAAGAGGATGTGGGGGCGGAGGAGGAGGAGGTGATGGGCCCTGACCCAACGGTCGACGGAAACGTGAGCGCTGTGCACCTGATACCTGATGCCTGATAGGGCATGAGCCTCGCTCCGGGAGAGAAGACGGGAATCGATCCTTGACCCTTTTTTTTTCGACGAGGGCCTGGAGGACGAAAATTTCGAGCAGCCCTTTTCCCACGGTTTGTTGCGCTCGTTGCTGAGCTTTGCGGCCTTTATGCGACCAGCCTCTTGCCCAAAGTGAACTTGGAACCTGCCTCTAGGATCGATCCTTTCGCAACATTTAGGAATCAACAGACACGTTGTAGGGCCTTCAGGTTTTAGGGTGTTGTCAACGATAGCAAACATCAGCCAACAATTATAGCCACCGGCATCATGGAACACACCCAAAGATGGGAAAAAAATCACACCAACGTGGTGTGACGTCAAACAATGTGCTGTCAACGATGACAATCACCACCATCATGATCATGAGACAAGAAAATCACGAAGCAACGTCGTGTACTGTCAACAGGCGCATGAACATCAACATCATCAGGACCACGATGACGTGGAGGTGACTCGTCGGGCAGATGACAGCCGACACTCGATGGGCGCGGGCGGGTTGATGGACACGTCACTCGGGTCTGCCTTCAAGGACAACGCTGCAGGTGTGCGATGCGGTGGGGCGGGGTACAGTACAGCACTGAGTCTTGCTTCCGGTTGTGGTCGTGTGTTTGTGTCTTCGATTGGCATCGACCGCACTAGCCGGCTGGCCGATTGAAAGACCTCAGTCTCAGTGAGGTTGTCAACGGGAAATGCTTCTAAAGGTTGTCTGTTTGGCGTAAAGGAAAGAGTAGTTCCGGCGAATAGCGAGAAGAAGAGAGTGCTTCGAAGTTCTGTAATGCAAGATGAGGTTTGTGTTCGTGGATGCTCTATTAGCGCGTTAGGTAGCTTCTCATCGGGGTTTGCGCCATTCTGCCAGTACCTCTACCCCCGCCCCCTCTTGTCTCTGTAACCCCCTTAGTTTCCTGTAGGGCGCAAACAGCAGTAGCCTGCCTCTCATGTTGCCCACACACTCAAAACAGCTTAGCTCTCCTATTCTCCCCGGTACCTCTTCTCTCCCCCAGACTGACCTTCTCGTCAACACGGCACGTCACCGCTCTGCTACCTAAGGGTCAACATACGATCCCCCCCTCGCCCCACCTGTCCTTAACTTCTTGACGCCACACGTTCATGTGTGTGGTGTTTGTGCCAAGTCCCTTTGCTTTTTAGCTTGGCATTGCATGGTATGTATGTTGTGTTTCCGACGTTCTCAACGTGTCAACTTGACAGATTCATCTGTGCGCTGTGTATGTCGAGCTTTCTCAACTTGCTAACATGACAAAAATACAATCTGTGCGCTATGCGTGTCAAATGTTCTGCCCGATTCAATCAATTGACCAGTGTGCTTGTCTCTATGGTCCCTCCATGACGCCTAACGTGATCGTTCCACATCTTTTTATCTCCTCCTCTCTGACCCTTCAGGCCTTGAGATGGATAGACCCGGCGAGGGAGAGGGCGGAGACGTCGATGCTTTCGAGCTCGGCGGCGGCGGTGACGGGATGGACGTGGGAAACGACGGAGGGATGGAGGACTTCGGCGACGGTGGCTTCGAGGCCGACCTTAACCTCAACGACGATTTGGCCCCGGACATGCAGGTGTGTCTGTGTGTGTACACCACGTCTTGTGTACGATATCGTTGCCGTTGCCCTTGGTGTTCTTTTGGTTTCACTGTGTTATGCTTGGCTTGTGGCCGTGAGGTGGACCGAGTAGGCCTGTTTCTTCGGAGTTATTGTACGATTTTGATATGTCCGAAATGTCATTGTACCGCCCGGCACGTGTAGGGTAGATTGGTGTGGTTTTTATTGCGAGGTATTTCCATACCCATTGTTTCCTCGTGCCCGTGGAGCAATGCCCAGCTGTCCTCCTCTATCGCGCGCGAAAGAAAAAGAATCATCTTGGAATGACCTCGCTTTGCGTGGCGGCGTACGCAAATGAAACCGGTTGTTGTTTTTCGTGTCGATGTTGCGATCGTTGTGAATGGCTCAGTCGAATGTGGTGTTAATGGTGTTCTCGCTTTGCAATTAATTCCTTTGTCCGAGAGGCTGAACCCCTGTCTCGCTAGGAAAAGCTGTAGTTACGGTTTGAGAGCCCTGCTACACAATGTCAACACGAGATGCCGCCCTGCCTACATGGTGCGCATAAATGTATATCCTGTTCGTTCTTTTTTTTTCGATTTTCTGCCGCCTTTCGCGATGTTGTTGTGTACCACACACCCATAGTCTGTCATCTGTCATCTGTGCTGATGTTCCGATGGAGTGAAGCACAGCAAACCCACATTACAAACGAGTGCATTAGAATGATTGGACCGCCAATAGGTTGCCGCGAACCACGTTTCTCACCATCGATCGACTTCACCAACCATTTTCCCACCCCTAACGACCCCCCGCCGCGCGCTATTGCTCCGTCCTCTCGAGGACGCATGTTAAATCGCTTAACCGCTAAGGCATGCAAAGCATAAGAGTACGCCCCCCCCCGCGCGCTATCACGAACCGCGTCTCCCAACGTTAGGACGGCGGCGGCGACCTAGACCTTGGGGGAGGGGTCAACGACCTCGAAGCTAGCGGTGACCTGAAAAACGACAACGACAGCGACAGCGACAAGCGAAACGCCGACCACGATCAAGATCAAGACCAAGACGAGAATGACGAGGACAAGGAGGCTTCTGCGCTGGAGGGGGCCGGGGCTGGGGGCGATGCCGCGGAGACGGGAGCGTTGCCTAGACACAAGTGGCACCCGCACACCGTCAAGGTGATCAAGAGCGGTCTGACTTGGATTGTGGCGGGCACACATGGCGACCGTTCGGAGACATTCATGACGGCCCTTGGTAGATATTGACGACGACCGTTCGTAGATCGTGACGACGTCCTTCGTAGATCGTGCGACGGCTCTTTGTAGATCGTGACGGCGGCTCTTCGTAGATCTAGATGATGACCCTTCGTAGATCGTGACGACGGCCCTTCGTAGATCGTGGCGGCCACCCTTCGTAGATCTTGACGACGGCTTTTCGTAGATCATGACGACGACCCTTCGTATTTTGATCTTGCCGACGGCTCTTCGTAGGTCGTGAAGACCACCCTTCGTGTAAGGGATCGTGACGACGGCCCTTCGTGTAGTAGATCTTGATGCCGCCTTCTTGTGCCGTGCCCGGCTCGTTGGTGTGGTGGTGAACCCGCACCAGGTCCTTCGGCTGGTGCAGAAGCAGCTCAGGGCCCCCACCGGCCCCGGGGTTACGCACGCCTCCTTGACTCGCGGTGCCACGAGGCGGACAGCGGCGGGCGCGTTCTTTGAGCTGCTGCAGGTTGGTCACACTACACACCAGCACTGCGTTTTCAATCAAAATGTTTTCGTGGAGCACCGTGGGGCTTAATTTTGTTCATCTCTCCGTCTGGAGTATGCATGGTAACATGCGTTGGTACCGGGTCTTATATATTAGTGTGCTGGATGATACTCTTTGTGCGTGCATCGCAGGTGTCGAGGCAGTGTGCTCCGTACCCCTTCCGTCTCTCTCTATACGTATCGATAGTAAGAACGCGGACGCGCCCCACGATCACGATTTCCTGAAAACAATGCAAGTCTGGTGTTGATTGTATAGCGACGGCGCCGGCTACAGGAACGAGGGCCGCAAGCACACGAAAGTAGACGCAGACACCTACTCCATCGCATCGCTCGTTCTCCCTGCTACCAAAGCCGGCTGCGAGTTTGCTTGTTTTTTGCATGTTTTTTGTTGTTGCTGTAGTACGCACGCATGCAGAACGATGCTTTGTGTTTTTTTTTATCATTTTTGTCCGGCCTCTTGTGGCAAGGCATCCGGGACCAAAATATTGAAACCGTCCCCAAAACAAACGCGAATTTGCTCTCGTGTGTAGCGCCGCATCGCCGCTGGTTTGATATAAGTCACGCCACGTGGGCCCTTTCAGTACCCCTTCAATAGCCCCGACTTTCCGTTCAACACCTCGCTTGTCGTTTTTTTGTAGCTCAAGACGTGGGACTTTGTGGAGTTGTCCCAGCAGGAGTCGTACGGAGACATCGAGGTCACAGCAGGGGTGAGTGTGTCTTGCGTTTGAACGTGAAAGCGAGAGAGAGAAACAGACAGACAGACAGACAGACAGACAGACAGACAGACAGACAGACAGACAGACCGACAGACAGACAGACAGAGATGGATTCAGGTTGGCACTTGGCGCGATGCCTTCGCGTTTTCTCCTTCGCGTTTTCTCCATTTCGTGGACCGGAGCAAATGGCTGTAGACCTTGACTTGATACGATCGAGTTCTTGTGGAGATCATGCTGTTAAAATTCGGTTTCGGGTGTTTGGCATGGATCATGGTAATTTATGCAGTAGGTGTCCCGATATAGTGCCGGTTGAATAGTGCCAAAGTCCAGTATTGTGCCGGTAAAATTTCTTGACACAGACACAGGCCCGAATAGTGCCAAACCCTCACTATTGAGGGCTGCCCGCTATAGTGCCGGTTGAGGCACTATCGAACCCCTCAATAGGGGCGGTTCACACCCCACACACAGCCTTTTTTCGCCCCAAGCCTTCCACGCCAACAGGATTCGGAGACGGTTTCCCTTCGAGCTACAAGTATAGCTCGGTTTCTCTCGGTACGCGTGACGTCTTCAAATGTCACGGTTTATTCCACCAATAGGCTGGGAGTTCAGTAGGGAGGCGAGCGAAAAGGAAGATGGTGGTAGTGACGAAGGATGGATGTGGAAACTATAGCCAAGGATAGCAGTGATGATGCAGGAGGAAAATATGGCGTTGAGGGGAACAACAAGAGTTTCGAGCAAGATGACCTTCCGCACAACAAACGCCGCAGAGGCGCAGAATCTAGAGATGAAAGCCCGGAAACTTGTGGGAAAATATTATCCTTGTACATCGGGTGCATGCATGAGCGTCTTTCTTTCGCTGTCCGGGGTGCCTTTGAGGTTGCCTGAAGAATAATTGTGCTACGGCCTTCTTGCAATACACAACACATAATAATTTGATTTGCGAGGTGAACTTTCATCGGGCAGCACAGTCTACGGTTGAAAGGCAGCAGCAACGTTTCACTAGCGAGTGCGTGCGCTGAGGTGGGAAAAGAACAACTGCTGTGCAACAAATCTATCTGGTCAATCAATTTACTTTTAACGTGACCAATGCCGTGTTTTCGACAGTCCAAGAGCCTCACGAAACTTAATGAAGCCCACCCACGTGNATTTGATTTGCGAGGTGAACTTTCATCGGGCAGCACAGTCTACGGTTGAAAGGCAGCAGCAACGTTTCACTAGCGAGTGCGTGCGCTGAGGTGGGAAAAGAACAACTGCTGTGCAACAAATCTATCTGGTCAATCAATTTACTTTTAACGTGACCAATGCCGTGTTTTCGACAGTCCAAGAGCCTCACGAAACTTAATGAAGCCCACCCACGTGGCCCACCTCACGATTGATCCAAATACCGTTCGTTTGGTACTCTGTCAGCCCCGCAAAGCGCAAGCGCTGCACTCTGAAGTCGAACAGTCCTGAATAGTGCCGTTTGGCACTATTCAGGCGCAATTCTGAAAAGTGCCGGTGCCCGGTATAGTGCCGGTCAAATCACCTGGACACATACCGGCACTATATCGGGACACCTACTGTACTTCAAAAATAGGGTAGGGCCTCCCGCAGACCGTTATATTCTGAGCGGTGAACCAGGTTCCTACTTTACCTCAAAAATAGGGTAGGGCCCCCCGCAGACCGTAAAATCCTGAGCGATGAACCAGGTATGTTGTTGGGGCCGTGCACTCTTTATGTAAATCGCTCTGCGCGAGGGTCAAGGTCAAGGTTTGGGTGACCTCTCGCACGGTTTATTTTTTTGTGTGCGTGTCGAGGTGTTGAACGTCAACACTCCGACGGCACCCGCAATAGCAGCGAAGCTTTTTATCGAGACTTCGTGGCTAGGCAGGGGGCGCGATGACACCGGATGGGAGTCCGTTGTGGATTGCTGTCACGGCGGTGGAGAGCTCTCCACAGACGCGTTTGACAGCGAGAGATACGCCCCCTCGTTTGTTGTGAAAAAATGGCTTAGACTACAACCTAGGTCGCACGGCTGTCTAAGTTTAGCGACCCGCGTATCCGGCAACCCGGCGTTCGACCGCCACAGGCCTTCAAATATAGTGTTGTCACCGATTTCAACTCGGAATCCGCCTCCGGCACTAGGCTAACCCCAGCCCACTCAACTCTCTTCTGTTCTGTTTTCCTCGCCTGTGGTTTGTTCTGTTGTTCTTCGGACGGTCGGTCTATTGGGCTTTGGCGCGGCTTGCGGCTGTACAGCCGCGTCTTGGCGACAAGGTCCAGGCCGCCAACGTCTAGGCCTGGTGTGTTGCATCATATATTGAAACCTTTTGGTGTACTTGTAGGACGCGTTTATCCTGGTGGTAGACAGGCCTAGCCTAGCGTTGCCAGGGCGAGCGGGTTGGGTGGGTGGGTGATTTCAATCCCAAGTGAAGTGAAGGTCGACTGACTTTTCTTGTTGAACCTGGTCTCGGTTTTCTGCACTTTTTGTTGCTTGACGCCTTTGCGGAAAGTCGTTGAGCGTTTCGTGTCTGCTATTTACTGTTTCATGAGGGGCACCGTAGGCTAAGGATTAGTTAAGACGTACTACTATGTAGTTTTCGTGTCGTCACACTGTCGAATGGGCCAATCGCCGTCTCAACACGACAGCTGTTTCTATTGTAAATTAGGAGCACGCGAGGGTACTGTATGGATGGACTGCGGGGGGGGGTATTTAGGAATACTTTTACGGGGCATCACCGACTGGAATGTAGAGGGGGTGCGGGCGGTGTTGTTCAGAGTGTGTAGGCGAACATTCGGCAAACGTTATTGAGCTTCTCGCGATATTTTAGGTTGCCAAATGTAGTCCTGAAGAGTAGATCGGCGACACAACGGAAACCAGGGTAGGGCTATCTTCTTTTTGGCAAAACTTGTTCGGGGGGTCGGGGTGGGTGTCTTGAATGGCCGTGATGGCACTGCATGGCGCTCTGCCGCTAGGTGTTGTACTATTGGGGTTTGTGAACGATCGATCTTTTACTCTCTAGGGATATGTCACCTTTACAGTAGGAAAACAGGCACGCGAAGCAAGCATTTCACTTCATACATCATACTTTGTGCTGTCGCACTAGAAAGCTAGAAAGGGAGTCTTGTTGATGTATCGAAACGAGGATTAGCGAAGCGTACAACACGCCGCACGTCCGCGATGGACGCGTGGGG